AAAAAAAAAATGTTGTGTGGGTTTAAAAAAGTACAAGCTTCGTCAGAATTTGTTTAAAAAAAATTTTTTTTTCTTACTGGGCACTAGTGGCTCATGCCTATAATCCTAGCTACTCAGAAAACAGAGATCAGGAGGATCAAGGTTCAAAACCAGCCCGGGCAAATAGTTCTGCGAGATCCTGTCTCGAAAAACTCTTCACAAAAATAGGGCTGGTGGAGTGGCTCCAGGTGAGGGACCTGAGTTCAAGCACCAGAACCAAAAAAAAATATATATTTTTTTTCTCTGTAAAAGTTTAAAGGGAATGTATATTTTTCATTGAAATGGAAAGAAATACTTAAGTTTTTGGAAAATAGTAGCCTCCTCTTCCTACCAGATCTTGTTTAAAAAGAATTAAATCTTTTATATTGTGATATTTCTTTCCATTTTATGGTTTCCAGTGAATTGCCACTAATTTTTTTTTTTTTTGGAGCAGTACTGGAGTTTGAACTCAGGGCTTCATGCTTGTTGGGCGGGTGCTCTACTGCTTGAGGCATGCCTCTAGCCCATTATAATTTTTATAATTACAGAATTTCGCAATTTATAAGCCTGATAAAATTAAGCCAAGGGCTGGATCTGACTCATAGGTTAGAAGTCCCTTCATTTCTCATCTAGGAAAGAACTAGGGAGTGCTTAAGAATGTGACTTTAGGCCTGACATGGTGGCCTTTGTCTATAATCCCAGCACTCAGAAGGCAAAGGCAATAGAATCAAAAGTTGGAGGGTAGCTTTAACAGAGCTAAATTGTTTGGATTTGAATTCCTACTCTGCCACTTATTACCTATAATCTTGCACAAATAATTTAACTCAAGCATCCTACTGTGTGTGCCCCATCTTCCTAACTCTCTCTTGATAGATCTTTTATTTTAATGATCCCCCTCCTTTACTAGGGCCTTTGTCACTGATTCTGCCTCCTTGTTCAATGTCTTAGATCTCTGTGCCTATTCTTCACCAAATAAGGAAACATTTTTGCCTTTATTTTTTTTTCTCCCTTTAATTATTCCTCCTTTCCCCACTCCAAGACTCCAGATTTTTGATTGTTTGTTTTTGTTTTTTTCAGACAGGTTCTTGAGCCCAGGGTTGCCTAGAATTCATTGTGTAGCCCAGGCTGGCCCCGAAACTCATGGTCCTCCTGCCTCAGCCTCTTGAGTGGTAGGATTACGGGCATTTACCACCATGCTTTGCTTTCTGTTGCTCCATTTTTATGTATGTTAGGTCATTTGATGGTCTCCCAGTTCACTGATACTCATTTTAATGGCAAGTAGCTTTTGTTTCTGTGTTCATGTTTTCCTCTACTTTTTTGATCATGTGGAGTATATTTATTTATAATAGCTGATATAACAGTCTTGTCTACTAAATCTATCACCCATATGGTTTCTGGGTCAGTTTCTCTTGTTTTTTCTCTTTCTGATTGGTTACATTTTCATTCTTTGCATGTGTGCTGATTTTGATTGCCTGAACATTTTAAGTTATATGTTTGGGGGATGAGTTTTAAAAATTTCTTTCAAATATTTTTTGATTTAGCAAAATCTAGTTCTAATAACTTGGAATCCTTTTGAGGCTTGCTTTTAAGTTTTGTTAGAGTGGGTTCCGAATAACATTTAGAATAAGGTCACTTTGGCTTCTGTGTTAGCTTTCTGTTACTGCAACAAAATACTGGCAATCATTAACTTAGAGATTTGAAGCCAGGCACTGGTGGCTCACACCTGTAATCCTTGCTACTTGGGAGGCTGAGATCCAGAACATTGAGGTTTCAGGCCAGCCTAGGCAAATAGTTCGAGAGACCCCATCTCCAAAATAACCAGAGCAAAATGGGGGCTGGAGATGTGGCTCAAGCTGTAGAGCACCTGCTTTGAATGGGTGAAGCCCTGAGTTCAAACCCCCGTTCCACCAAAAGAAAAAAAAGGTTTATTTTGGCTCACATGATAAGGTGGCCTTACTGGTTTGGGCCTCTGACATAGGCAACACATCATGGTGGGAGTGCATGACAGAGCAACACTGCTCACCTCATGAACCAAGAAGCAAGGGAGGAAGGAGAAAGGGGCTGAGACCCCACAGTCCCTTCCAAGGGCAATACCCCAGTGACGTATGGACCTCCCACAGTGCCCTAGCTCCTAAAGGTCCACAGTACCTCCCAATAGTGCCATTCTGGGGACCAAGCTTTTGACACAGGGACCTTTGAAGGACACTTGGCATCTAAGCTATAGCAGCTCTACTGTAGACTCTGCCTTTCTGAGGACTCTGCCCAGGGTATTTGTTGACATTTTTGGGAGGGGGTGTGGGGGTCCATCCTGGCTGCTGGGAATACAAACTTTGTAGCCTTGTGTGTGTTCTGGTAATTGCTCTGCCTACTCCTTTTAATGGTTCTTTCCCCAGTCTCAGACAGTTTTCTCATACATATATTCAGTCAGTATTTAGTCAAAGGCTTGGGAGGACACCGCTACAGACCTTCAGAGTTCCATTTCTATGCATCTCTTTAATTGTTTTCCTGGTACCTGCACTTCAAGTTCTAGTCATCTCTACTTCTTCAGACTCCAAAACTCTTGTCTTTTAAAATTGGCAAAGCCACCAGACTGTATTTGAATTCCCCCTACTGTGCTGAGGCCTGGATGCTCTCTAGTCAAGTATGTTTGGGCATTTGTATGGATCACCTCTTTTGTTTTTCTTTTCTCAGGAAGAACTGTCCTGTGTTGCCTTTTGGGTTTTTAGTTGTTTAGTCAGGAGGGGAAGTCTGGTTCCTGTTATTCTACCATGGTTAGAAGTAGAAGTCTCTTTTCATCATCTTGATGTTACTTTTTTACCCCCTTACCTAACCTAAATTCTGTTTTCAATCATAATAACTCCTTTCAATACTCTTTTTGACTCTCTTGCCCTTCTCGTTTCACTTGAGAAAAAAACCAACCCTGGTAAAATTCATCTCTCTACCTTTCAGAGTCAGCTGAATGTTGCTGGGAAAAAAAGACAATCATGTAATTTTTACTTTAAATTCATGAGCACAAACTACAAGTGAACCCAATCATACTGCACTTCTATAGTCGTTTATTATTTTTTTTCTTCTACTTTTCTAAATATTCTACATCTTTTTCTCAGAATTCCAGCATTTCTTCTCCCATCTTGTCAGGCATTGTCTTTACTTCTGTATCACTGAGAAGTCAAAGCAATAAAAAATTAACTTTTCAGAGTCATACATCTACCCTCCTAGAAGCATCTACATCCATATAGCTATGCTCTCTCACTTAGCAGTCTGTCCCTCCACCTGTGCATAGGATCTTGTTGCTTCTCGTCTGCCCATAGCAATTTAAGTTCCCCAGCAACTTCCCCTGTTTATTCCTACATCATCATTATTCCTGCATCATTCCTATCTCATTGTCCTGCAGTAATCTTATCACCTTACAATAATACTATACTTGTCCCATCTTTAAAGAAATTATTTCTTCTCATCCCATCAGTTACTATGCCTTTTCTGTGTTCCCTTATACCAGAAAAACTATTCAGAATAGTCTGTATTCTTTGTAGTTTTCCCATCTCATGTTTACAGTTGTGAGTCACCAGCTCCTGGCCTGACTAGACCTTTTAAGTTCTAGACTTGCTAATTGAACTGCCTATTCAATGTCTTCACATGAATGTCAAATAGGTATGTTAAATGTGACACATCAAAATTGAACTTCTGAGCTGAAGGTGTGGCTCAAGTAGTAGAGAACCTGCTGAGCAAACCATGAAGCCCCAAGTTGGAACCCCAATACCACAAAGAAAAAAAACAACAAATGAATTTCTGAGCCTCCTTAAGTTGTTATATTGCATCCATGTTGATGCTGATGCTATACTTCTTGTACAGAAGCCTTAAAATCATGGTGTACTTCTTTTCTTTGCAGTGCTGGGGTTGAACTCAGAGCCTACATCTTGAGCCACTCCACCAGCCCTTTTTTGTGATGGGTTTTTTTCTGAGACAGGGTCTTATGAACGGTTTGTCCAGGCTGGCTTCAAATCACGATCCTCTTGCTCTCTGCCTCTCAAGTAGCTAGGACTACAGGTGTGAGCTGCCGGTGTTGGCTGTTTACTTCTTTTTGAATGTCCTTGATGCTTACTATTCAGAAGTCCTGTTAGTGCCACCTTTAAAATATATAAAATCTAATCACATCTCACTATCCCCTACTTCCATGGTTAGTATCACAGTCACTATCATCTCTCACCTCCTTACCAGCTTTGTTCCTTGTAATATATTCTCAACATAGTAATCAGTAATCAGGGAGGTGTTTTTTTTTTTTTTTTGGCAGCACTGGGATTTGAACTCAGTGCCTCAGGCTTGCTAAGCAGGTGCTCTTACCACTTGAGCCACTCTGCCATCCCAGGGAGCTTCTTAAATATAAAACAGATAAGGGCACTTCCTGCTCACTCTTTTAATGGTTCACTGTGTCATAATAGAAACCTGTTTTTATAATGATCTTCAAGGTACTACAACTCCAGCCCAGTAATGTCCAGGAAGGCAAGTTACTTCCCTGAAGTTTATCTTGAGTAAAACACTAAGCATGTTCTTACTTCAATCTTTGTCTTGGCTGCTTTTTTTCTTTTCTTTTTTTACCTAGAATACTCTTCTCCAGAAATTTCTCCATCTCCTGCTTCTATTTGGCTTCCCATAACTCATTTGTTGTTTGAGAAGAGTGCCTATGAAAGGATTCATTGTGTTGTAAGAAATGAAGGCTAGAGAGGCAAATGTTAAAGTCTTCTTGGAAAAGAATCAGTATGTAAGATAATTTTACACTTACAAGCAATTGGTTAGTCTAGCCTGTCTTGCTACAAAGAGACTTTGTAACAAGTTGATGAGAGGAGGCAGCCTTGAGTTAGTCAGTAGATCATTGATAACTGTTTGAAGATTCCTTTACTTATTAATGAGGCATTTCCTTTTGTAGATAAGCAATTGGGTGTCCTGTTGCTTAGTTATGATTTGATGATACACTCTTCAGTTTAAAATAGAATAGGCCATAGGACTGCTTGAACATCAGTTTTGGAACCTGTTGTAAAAGTTTAATAAATTATTAAATTCCTCCTTTTCCTGAGTATTAGGAGAAAGTGTTTTTGTAGTTAATCTTACATGTTTCATGAAACAGGAGATCAAAAATGTTTCCTGTTAACTTGTCATATCTATTAGGAGATTTCAGAGTCTAACCGGTATTTATCTCAAGTACCTGCCTATTCCAGTCCTTTGCACCATTTTGATTTTTTTTTTTTTCTTTTTTGCAGTACTGGGGTTTAAACTCAGGGTCTACACCTTGAGCCCACTCCACCAGCCTGTGTGTGTGTGTGTGTGTGTGTGTGATGAGTTTTTTTGAGATAGGGTCCTGTGAACTATTTGCTTGGTCTTGCTTTGAACCTTGAGCTTCCTGATCTCTGCTTCCTGCCATTTTGATTTTTTAATTGCAGGATTTATACTATGTTTAATTTCATAAATTGCCAAAAGTGCTTATGGAAGTAGAACTAGTTGAAATTAGAAAACATTAAGATGGCATTATGATTCTCCCTACCATAGTCCAGAATTCTTAAGACTCATAATCTTTGCATCATTCTTTCATATTTGTTAGCCCTTTCTCAAGAGTGAGAAGTAAATGAAGAAATGAGGGTTATAACAGTAGAGATTGCAATATGAAGACAGATACAAGGTTAGTATACAAAGTATGTCACACAGACAACTTTAAGAGGAGAGTAGAGTTAACTAATGTGACTCACTTAAGTTCATAAGGTAGAAACAAACTAGTTGGTGAGGGGAAAAGCACAGCTAATCTTGGTACTGAGTTTTGAGCAAATATGTCCCCTAGATCCTTATAATAAGAGTACCACGTGTTAGAAGCAATCACTTGGGGCAAGAGGGTGTGATAACTCTTAAAATGAGCTGTTTGGATGTAACAAACATCATTTGCTTTCACTCTTGTATGATGTTAGTTAATAGTTCTTAACCTTTTAGAGTCATTGGCCCTCAAACATTTTATGTAGTATTAAAATGAATTTGATAATGATAAACATGCTGATTTTGAGCTCCCAAGAGATTCTGGTTCAGTAGATCTGTTTAGGAATCTATGT